GAGGAGGAGGAGGAGGAGTGAAATAAAACTGAATGAAAGATTTGAGAAGTTACCTAAAGACTTTTTGAGGCTCATGAAATGTGTTATTGAGTCATGGGTTCTTGGTTTGTTTCAACAACATACTAAGATGATACCTGGTTGTGTTATTTATGGGCATTAACTTAAATTAGCAAGCACTTTAAGTGGTTGTTGTGCTTGGATTTAGTTTAAGTTGAAGCATCAGTTACATAGCCCAATAAATGAAAGTGAATATACCATATGAAAGCAATCTGCCATTCTAACCACAGTCAACAATTGATTTGTTGACCTTATAGACCGGGAGAGTAGGATTGGTTAAGTGCACTAATTGTTTTATCAATCAGAACAATGGAATACTTGTGATACCTGGGATCCAATTGTCTTAAACACATCTGCACGTTACACAAGTCCTGTTGATGTTCCATGACATTGGCGGAACTTGCTTGAATGCAAATGTATGTCTTTGACTCTGACTTCTCTTGCCAAACATAAGTACGTGTATATTTGTGACCACCCCATATAACATTTGCAAATAGTTATGTGAGGAGTTTTTTTTCTGTAGCAGCATTTCAACTTTCATAATTTTCATGAAAGCATTCTGTTTTACTAGTTTACATTCAGCCATTACAATTTGTAATTTTAAGTCAGAATGCCTATGTTTAAACCAATATAATTATCACTTAAATAAAGGGAACTAATTGAGCTTGTACAGTATCTAAGCAGTTCCTCTGGACTGTTTTGTGATTCACAAGTTTAGTGTAATTGCCCTAGTCTATAAATTTAAAGGCAACTTTTCCATTAATTTCTTTCTGTCATAGTTGGGCAGTGAATATTCTTCCTCCTCCTCCACTGAGAATCATTTTCCATAAATGCCAGTTCTTACACCATGTTACTAACATGAGGAAAAAAGCAGGTTCTGTCAGTCTTCCACCAAAGCAGACTGGTGCACGTAGGATTCCGCAAACCACTAGAAACCCCAAATATATGTTGTTCACATCAATATCATGGAAAATGTATTCTGTACATGTCAGTGGCTTCTCCTGAATGCCTCACCATGGCCTGATATGATACCAAACAGTTTTTCACTGCACCTACCATGGACAGAAAAAGTGATAGAAAATCAGATCTCCATTTTACTTATCTGACTGCCAATTCCTGCCTGGACAACTACATTAGATACAGAAAAGCAATTTTGCAGCTAAATTAAGAAATCAGAGTTTTGGCATGTGTGCTGCTGCAAACTCATATGTTACATAAAGTCAGTGCCTGTGTGCTATAACTTGGGTTTTTAACCTATTTGTAATTTTATTAGGCTATTATAAAAGTTTGTTTTGTTGGTAAGAGGCCGAAAGCTGGAGTAACTAAGGAAAGAGCCTAGTGCTTCTCTGGAATGTTTTTTAAAAAAGCCCACAGATTTGCTCCATATCTGTGAGGCTGATGCCTTAAAGTAAGAAATAAAATAAAGGTTAAAAATCAGCAGAATTAATAGTAAATAATTACCTCTTTCCTAAAGTGATGTAATATTTCCAGATTTGTTAGTTTTGCTTTTCATTCATAATCAGTTGCTGTTCAGAGGCTGTGAAACATTATATGTAATTAATTGCTTCCCAGACTTCTGTTGGTGATTTACCTCTCTGTAAGTTAAATTGCATAACTCACCACAGCAATGCACCACCAAAGAAATGCTGGTTATGTTAGGAGAAAAAATGCCACAATAAATTATGCAATTTAACTTATTATGCACATGTAAAACATCAACAGCAGTCCGGCAAATAATACCTGTCTACTCTCATTTTGATTGTATGGCTTTTCCCCACTTTGTGTGTAAGCTGCAAACATTTTAAGTTTTTTAACAAGGTATACACAACAAAGCTTTCTTTAGCTCATCAAGGCAGAGGGAGAAAACTAAGTATACTTTCAAACAAATGTATTTGTTATCATCTTTAGATTGTTTGATATTACCTAGTATTATGTGTTCTTCTTTTTGCTCATTGGCCTGTTTGAATGCAACCCTTCAAAATGCTGTATATGAAACTCACTCACAGTTGCTGTGGGTTTTTTATAACTGCTTTTGCTGTTTCTGCTAGGTTAAGGTTATCGGCATGTCTTTTCTTTTCAAAATGAATAAAGAATTTTTCTTCTAGTAAAACACAGTAATTTCCAGTTTGCCACACATACTTATATATTTTTTAGTATTATGTAGCGCATACAGAGTATTTTCTCACATTTTTCAATGTGTTCAATGGGGTGTATTTTTTGCATACCTTAATTAAAAGTATGCTAATATTTTCCTGGTTTCTTAAACCGTATGAGCTGCAAGATATGAGAACACTACAACTGTAGTTACTCACAATTTCTCAATAAACAAATACCACAAAGCATACTAGCATAAATTGTAATTTGTTCTCTTCAGTTCGTTACATTAGTTGCATTTCTCTGTTACCAGTCTATAATGACTGCTGCTTTAGCTGGACATTGAGTCATGGCAACTGGACTTCTTTCTTGAAACATTTCGCTATTCATCCAAGCAGCTTCTTCAGTCTGAGGAGAGTTGGTAGAAGATCCCTGATATATCCTCCAAATTGGCTTCAAGTCCCCCTGGTCTGAATAGGTTTATTAGATGGACAAAGGACTGGGAGTGAGGGATAATCTCACTTCTACAGTCCTTCTTTCTCCACCCATTGTCATGGGACCTTGATGGTCGTTAACAGTGATCTTTCTTGTGTGTGTCCCTAATTCTTCTGGGGACTGATGAAAAGGCAGCATGATAAACAGGAGATAGATTGTATCTAAGGCCTCCACCCCAGTTGAGTGAGGGATTTTCTATATGCACATGTATGGGCTCCCTGACCCCTCTTTCAAACCATCTATCTTCTAGTCTAAAATGAGTACACCTTGGTAATCAAATAAGTGTCCTTTGCCCTTCAAATGAAGGAACACTGATGATTGTGGTCCTGAGCCATTGCTCCTCCTGTGCCGGGCCATTCTCCTGTTTAGTGGTTGTTTTGTTTCTTCAATGTGGAGCTCCAAACACTCCTCCTTGCATTGGACCACATACACTATATTGCCCCTGTTGTGTTTTTGTGTCCAGTCTTTTGGGTGGATGAGTCTCTGCCTTAGTGTGTGGGTGTGGGTTTGAAGTGAATGGGTATGTGGTGTTTACCAAAAATCCTTTTGAGCTTTTCAGACACATGTAAGGAATGAAAAGGTTCTTCCTTCGGCTCTGGGTCTCAGACTGTTCCATCGTCTTCCTGGGTCGGGACATTGCCTTGTTAAAGGCCCATTTTGGATATCCACACCCCTTAAGGGATGCCCATCTTCCTTCTTTTTGGATTCTGTGGAGGTAAGGATGTTTCTTGCTCTGTGGTTTAGTGTTCTGATGACCCTAGTCATCATTTGTCCTTCATTTAAAAGAAAAAGGACACTCGTTTTATGACCAAGCACTTTTAAAACCAGCACTTTGAATTATGCCCAGAACAGAAGCCCGTGAAGCTGCTGTAATGGGGTTTATGGGATCTCTGTAATAAGCCCCAGTTAACAATCTGGCTGCAGCATTTTGGACCCGCTGAAGTTTCCAAACACTTTTCCAAATGTAGCCCCATGTAGAGCATGTTGCAGTAATCCATCCAGGATGCAGCTAAGGCATGTGTTACTGTGGCCAAATCAGATCTCTTCAGGAATGGGTGCAGATGGTGCACTAGTTCTAACTGTGCAAATATACTGCTGGCCACTTCCTAAAACTTGGCCTTAGCTTTAAAAAGGGAACCAGCAAAAGTCTCATAGTTTGAGGTATCTTGTGTCCAAAGCCTGCTTAAATAAAAAAGTCTTTACCTGTCACTGGAAAGATAGCAGGTAGAGGCCAAACCTGGTCTCTCTTGACAAGGAGTTTTCTTGGAACAGCCACCAAAAAGGTCCTCTCTTAAATCCCCACTAAATGGGCCTTTGAAGATGGTAGACACTCTCCAACAGATGGGCTTGTATGGGAAGCTACCATCATTCACATGACCTAGGTTCAAGTCCTATAGGGCTTTATAGGTCATATTTGTGCCTCGAGACAAACATTTAGCCAATTGGTAGCAAAGGATGATGAGATCTGTAGTAAAAAATATTGGAAATGACATAGGAGTCCCAGCCTGTTCAACACAAGTACAGTATCTGTTTTGGGAGTAAAGGTTAGTCTGTTTGGAAGAGGTTGAAAACCGCACTGTAACAACCTAAACACATCCTCAAAAATAGGCCATTTCACAATAATTAAATCTGGTATAGCTGCCCTGTTTACACAGAAATTAGTTACGTTTTCAATTGTAAACAAACTGACAAGAAGTCCAATGAACACAGATTTAATTCCAAGCAAAGATGCAACAGATTGAGCTGCTCTTTATGTGGAAACAACAGACACACATCCCAAAACAAGCAACAGATACTTGTAACAATTTTTTGCATTTATTGCCATGTGTTCACGAATACCTGCCTTTCACATTTTATCTGTTTCTCCCTACAAGTAACAATTATTGTCAGTTTCTTCACTCCAATAAAACAAATTATTTTTTTCTTGGCTGATATTTATGTTTCCTCCAAGAAAGAGATCTATTTATTTATGTATTTATTAGACTTATCACCCCCGCGCCTCTAGACAACGTCTAGAGGGGCGGCTTACATGAATAAAAACAGAACAATATAAACAATATAAAATAATCTAAAACACAGTTTTAACACCTATTTCTAAGCAGCATATAACCAAGATGTCATAACTCAAGCAAGAAGGATAGGGATCAATTAACTGACTGGAGGGAAGGCCTGCCTGAAGAGCCAAGTTTTTAAATAGCTTTTAAAAACACCCAGCGAGGGTGCCAGTCAAATTTCAGCTGAAAGGGTGTTCCATAGCCAAGGGGCCACTACCGGGCCTCTCTCGGCGTTAGGCCCCTCAGCCGTCCCTGCTAGCTATATCAGGTTATTCGGCTACTGTAGATCTAGGTGGAAGAAGACGATCTGCCAAATATCGAGGTCCCAAACCGTTTAGGGCTTTGTACGTAATCGTTAGCAATTTGAAATCAATGCGGAAACGGATGGGCAACCAGTGCAGTGCTGCCAGAGTGGGGGAGATATGCTGATATTTTCTCACCCCACTAAGAAGCCTGGCTGCTGCATTCTGGACCACCTGAAGTTTCCGCAATAATTTCAAAGGCAGCCCCACGTAGAGTGTATTACAATGGTCTAATCTCGAGATTACAGGTGCGTGGACTAGAGTACTGAGCCCCCCCCATCAAGATATGGTCGCAGCTGGGCAATCCGCCATAGATAAAAGTAGGCCCAGAGTGGTCGAATAGACCAGATGGCCCATAGATGAAAATAGGCGGAACGGACCACGGATGCCACCTGGGTTTGCATGGTAAGCGCCGGGTCCAGATGTATCCCCAAGCTGCGGACCTCGCTCTTTGCAGTAAGGATCGTCCCCCCAAAAGAAAGGGAGTCACCCACCCGCTAATAGAGGGACCACCCACCCTCAAGACCTCCGTTTGTCTGAGTTCAGCCTCAACCCGTTCAGCTGCATCCATTGCAGTACAGACTCCAGACAGCGCTGAAGAGACAGAACAGCATCCACTGGAGTAGGTGAAAAGGAGATGTAGAGCTGTGTGTCATCAGTGTACTGATGGCATGATGCCCCACACCCCCTGATGACCTCACCCAGCAGCCTCATATAGATATTAAACAGCATTGGAGAGATGATTGATCCCTGCGGAACCCCACAATTGAGGCTTCATGGGGCTGAGACATTCTCCCCAAACTGTATTCCCTGGGGACAGTCCTCCAAGAAGGATCGGAGCCAGGCAAGCGCCAGGCCACCGATTCCCAACTCAGAGAGCCTGCCCAGGAGGATACCGTGGTCGACGATATCGAAGGCAGCTGAGATGTCAAGGAGGACCAACAAGGACATATTGCCCCCATCAGCCTCCCTCAACAGGTCATCCAACAGTGCGACCAGTGCCGTTTCTGTACCATAGCGTGGCCTGAAGCCTGACTGAAATGGGCCCAGAGCATTGGTTTCATCCAAAAGTGCCTGAACCTGGTCTGCCACCACCCTCTCGACCACATTGTTAAGGAAGGACACATTGGCAACGGGCCTGTAATTTCCAGTGTCATCCGCTGCCAAATTTGTTTTCTTCCTAATGGGCCTAATGAGTGTCTCCTTCAGGGCAAGGGGGACCTTGCCCTCCTGGAGAGACCCATTAATTATTGTGGTGGCCCATTCAGTTGTTACAGGCCTGGCTGCTTTGATTAGCCAGGCCAGGCAAGGGTCAAGAGAGGAGGTGGTGGCCCGACAGCGATCAAGCGCCTTGTCCACCAAATCTGGTGTCATAGGCTGAAAGCAATCGATAATCGCCGGGCAAGGCGGAGCGCTGGACATCTCAGCTCTATCCATTGTGTTTACGAAGGTGACTTATAGCAGAAATCAAACAGAACAAAAAGAATGAAAGCATAAAACATAACATTAATAGAAAGGATTTAAAACATACCAACAGAATAAATTATATAACTCCTAGGCAGTGAGATCAGTTACCAAAGGTTCCTCATCAGATGGGAGTTGGGTTGACTCAGGAGGAAAGAGAACAGAGACTTGTGTTTCTTTGTTGTGATGCAACAATGCAACCGGGAAAATGTGAATGGATTTATTATGAAGTTGCACCCAGGCAGTTGGGTTTCCCAGGTTAATTTGTTTCAGCTGACGACACAGGACCAGCAAAGATGGAGGAGGATTATTATCTTGCAAGCAAAGATGATTGCAGTTTAAAACCTCTCCTCCTTAAACCTGTTGCCTGTGTATAATTGTTTTCCTCTTCCCCTTCCCTTTCTTTTCTTTTAACTTAAATGCTTGCTTCAATAAACTAGTACTGCTGGTAAGGGGAGGAGGAGGAGAGAATCGACAGGGAGGAGAAGGAAATCATGAATCAGCCTAGTTTCCAGCTTGCTTAGGTAACTGCTCCAACCTTGCCTCCTGCAGAACTATCTTAAAAACAAGAAACAAGGCTGATTTATAACTTCCTCCTCTCTTTCTACCGGACTCTTGATCTTCCCCCCTCCCCCTTTGGTCACCAGCTGTTGTGGTGCTAGGACAGCAAGCCTTAAAAGAGAAAATACTAAAAAAGAAATGGAAGAGGAAGAGGAAAACAAGCAGATTCAGGTACCATTCAAATTACAGCCAGTTTCCCTGATCTCTGCCTTGCTCGTTGCTGCTCTAGTGGGGTGAAATGGCTTCGAACAGAAGAGCTACAAAACCGTCCACACTGGCGCAAGTGATCACAGTGCCTGAAACAATGCGAATGCATTTGATTCCAAAAAGTAAATGCTCCAGTGATGGAGAAAGAAAAAAAAAACTAAGGATTGGAGGGAGAAAACTCCAGTTTGATTGTACCTCGTGTTGTAAACAGATAATAATGTTAATCTGTTTGTTCCAGGTCCTAGAGCATTTTTCGTATTTTTGTCAATGTAGTTATCTGTTAGGTAGTTCAGCCGGGTGTTTTCTTCTGAAATAGAGTTCTTGATGTACAGGTACCAGCAGTGAAGAAACACTTGTTTGTCTGAAACCTTGACGGGGCTTTGTGTATTGTTACTATTAAGAGAAGATTATATCCTGCCTCCCATGTATGTAGACTTAGCAATGTGTAAAATAAACCAACTGAAACCAACAAAAGAATGCTGATTTACCTAATGTGGAATTATGCAAGTTAATTAGAAAAAGAAAAACTGCTAAGGTTTTCCTGCCTCTAGATATGGAATCAGTACCTCCTCTAGTGAGTCCTGCATCTCCCATAAACTTCCATGAATGAAACTATCTAATTGCACAGGGAAAAATTAGCCGCAGAGACTGAAGGCACCAGATTGGGAAGAGTCATGGGCCATGCTTCCATTGGGATATTATTTCCTATATATTCCCTACTGTTCATTTGAAGGTAAAAAGAATTTATATCTTACAGAGATATTTTGATTGAAAAGAAATAGTTGTCAAATTTTAAAATGTGTGTATGAAGTGCTAA